AGGTTTCAAGAACAAATCAAATAAACCTTATCGATCATCACTAGCACACGAGTTGAGGTTTACAACCTATCGTGTTGACACTATTTTGTTTTCTATGCCATTCCAGTTGAGTTAATTATGCATATAAGTCCTATGAGTTCTCGTTTGAATGCAAAAAAGGTAAGGACCTTGATCAATGGAAAGTACTTTGATAGGAAAAGGTGAACTGCTTAACTACTTGGAAGACATGGTGGGCAGCTGTGCTACCATAAGGCAAGAAATCAAGATTAAGAAAGTTCGGTCCATATGAGTTTGAATTTGTCGTAAACTTTGGTTTTAACAAATTCACATGGATAGGAACACATACACCGTTTAAATCTAAGTGTCATAAGATTTCCTCCTTCATGAAAGTGATTGTGAGGAAATGCTTTCACTAAGAAAGATTTTAAAAGGATAGTGATTGTAAAATTGCATTCTCAAATTCGATTATGGTTACGGTATCCCTTTCCATGATTTGAGCTGTGAGGTTTGGCAATTAGTCTTAATTGTTTAGACACACATATGAACTATCTAAGGAAAAGGTGTATAAGTTCAAGAAACTTTGATAAAATATTATCAATGCACTAAGTATTAGAAACATGGACTTAAGAAATTCGATGGGTATTGTTTTTCTGAAAGTTAAGATGTTTATGAATACATGTCAAAGCTAGTGGGAGCATAAGTGCTATGTTTTATAATAATCATCATGATAGTGGGAGCATAAATGTTATGATTGTATGATTATTAAGGAAAGTATTGCAAGTTGGAAATATTAATTATAGAAAACAAGAGTCATTCTTTGCAAAGTTGTAAGGATGGAATAGTTGTTTTGCTATAATTAAGGGAGAGAATATTATGCTTCATTTCAAATCTAAAGGCTTAAGTTGAGAAATGTTGATAAATTTAGTCAAAGGTACATAGTGTGTTCTTAAAATTTCGATTGTGATTACGACATTCCTCTTCACAATTCAAATTTTGAGAACATAGCAAATAAAACATTATGGCAAAAGATGGATAAAGTATCAAATCTTTATGTAAGACATGTTGCATCATGTCCCATACGCTTCGGGTACAGGATCGATTACAAATGCTATAATATTTGACCATTCTAAAATTTTCCAAATGTTTAGCGCATTTAGAGGGAAAAAGGACTAGGATCGGTTTTTGACCAAAATAATTAAACAACTATCAAAGGACAATCCAAAGTTCGCCGAGGATTGGTCGCTTGTGAGTAGTTGGAAGCATGATATTCGATGGACCATATTGACATTATTTTGAATAGATAAGATTCTATTGAGAATGAGTTGTCATATGGTAAGTATGGAAAGTTTTCCATATTGGGAATTGAATATTGAAAATCTATGTCTAGATTAGAAACTTTTATGCAAAAGGATGTTCAAAGGAATGTACCTTGAGTGAGAGACATCATATCTATAGAATTGTATTATAAAAATCTCCGATAGAGGACTTTGTAATTTCATTGGCAATGGTCATTGTGACTTTAGTGCAATGACATTACGAAATGATCATTGCATAAAATATTAGAATCTAACATATTCTGTAAGTGGCAAGAATTTGATATTCTATCACTTGTGTAAAGGATTAGGAGTTGTGAAATGAGTATGATTGGAAATGTGTTCATTTGATCTATTTCACAAAGTAAGAACCATAGGTAAGAATTGTGTGCATGCTAAGAGCATGGGACAAGTGTAGTAATAATTCAAGTAAGAAGTTGATTACCCGAAACAACAATTAACGAGTAATCGATATGGTGATAAATAAAAGGTGTTTTATTTATACTCAAAGGTTTGAGGCCATATGGGATTAGTATTATTCTTGTGTTTCACTTTGCATGTTTTGACTTCCTGAATAATTTAATTGGTTTAGAACAGTCAAATTATTCGAACGGGCCACAGTCGTTCATATGTTGGAAGTAGGTATGAATGAAGACTGTCGTGAGTTGGTGTGTGGATTGTCTAAAGAGCATTAGACATAAGCAAATGTTTGTTGCAATGTTCATGAGTGCTTATGAATATGATTTGAGCATTGGATTAAACCCACGATCACTTGGATCACTTCATGGATTTTATCACGAGTGATTGGTGAGACGATAACACCTTATATTCTTGAAACCGAGATGTGTGAGTTGTATCTCGCGAGTCGGTTACACATTGATGATATGTAAACGCACTAGTAACTTGGTGTTATAAAACATATTGTTGTGTGTGATTCGGTGAGTGAGTGCAAGCGAACATTGAGTCAAATTTTATTCGTTCCTTTTATCCAAAGTAGGATAAAAACAATATTTTTGGGCCCCTCGATGATTTAGTGATGACAAACGTAAATGCTCGGCCGGGCTAGGGCTAAGTTGATTTGTTCAATTAGCCAGTCGTCATAAATTGGAAGTCGGGAAATAGTATAGAGAGAATGATTAGAAATCATGTCTTATACGATATCTAGAATGGAGGAATATATGATCCCTTATCTAAAGGACACGCTAATCTGATAGGATCAGAGTTGACAGCGGCTTTGGAAAGCTATGATTGCAGATCAGGATCTGAAGTCATACGCATAATAGTTATTAGACTTATCCAAGTGGGAGACTGTTGGATTAGTGTCTAAGTCCATAACTATTTTGGTATGTACTTGACCCGATGGTGCATGGTCCTGTTGGGTTGCCTTCACCAAAGCAACTTGATAGGATGAATTATGGAGAGAAAGGATTAAATATGATTTATTAATATATTATGAGAATAATATATTAAAGGAGAAATCATATTGTTTAAATTAATATTAGTCAAGAATTAATTGGTAATTAGTTTTGTGACTAAAAGAGATTAATTAAACTTAGGGGACTGGAATTGTAATTATAAGATAATTGCAATTTGGGCTATGGATTGCCTTATATTAAGGAGTGGACGAATTCTATGGGAAAGCCCATGAAGAAGTCGTCCAAGGCCTTAAGGAAAGGAATCTATGGGTTGCTTAGGGCTTAAGCATCCAATTTAGGGTTTCCTTGTTAGATAACCCTAATAGCCTCCTATATATATATATATATATATATATATATATATATATATATATATATATATATATAGATCCCTTATGACCCAAAAAAAACGTGGCTAAGCATCCTTCTAGGGTTTCACATGTTTTAGGGCAGCCTCCTTCTATTCTCCTCTTCATCCTCTTGCTCTGGGTGTTTGTGAACCATTAGAGGAGTGACATTTGTGACTCTAAGCATTCTAAAGTCAATACAAGGAGGAATTGGATTGTTATTGCTACATAACAATCAAGGTAATGTCTTAAACCCATTCTTATGTTAATATGATTACTTGTATGCTAGAATTAGGGTTTATAGTCTTGGACAACTTGCATGTACAATAGAGAAACCTAGATCCGAGCATTAGGGTTTGTATGAGCACATAGGATGTTCTTATGACCAAAACCCATCAAGGACAACATCCACATAAGAAGACAATAACAATACACAATTTATAGATGCTAAAAAAAACGATTCCGAAAACAGACATGCCCATTTTGGAATTGGAACAAGACTAAGTTCTGAAAACAACAATTTTGACACAACAAAAATAATGACTTAACAATTTCCCCCTTTGTGTCAAATCGGAATGAATTAGTCTTATCGCTTTTGGTCTTCAAAAATCTTTAGCATAATCTTCAGAATGGATACCCTGATAGAAAGATACCAGCAGATCATATCGGAAACGTACTTGACATCGGCAGTAGAGTTGGACTTGTTTGCTTCGGCCCTAGACATGATTAAGTTCAGAGCACTTGTAGGGTATAAGTGCTTATCCCTCATAAAGAACATACATTTCTTAATCTCTTCACCTTTCGTCTTCTTGTAAAAAATGCTCCAGTATTCTTCGTCAATCAATCCTCCCCTTAGATTTGAAAAGTTTTAGAGTTGATCAAAAGGCTTCGATATATGTTTCCTTTTTAGAACTGAAGCAATTCCTACATCCGTCTTCGCTAGATCCAGAATGTAACATTTGATCATCCTCTTCAAATGTTCATATATTGGTTCGTACTTCTTCAAATCCTTTGCAACAATGTGGAATAACAAAATCCAATCATAGGGGCTCATAAATGGTAGATAAAATAATGTGAACTCATGAAGAATATGATTGTGACCTCGGAATCCTTTGAATTGAATGTTCAAAAAGTCTTCCGTTTGAATAGGTAGACCAACCTTCAGACCCACGATCCTTTTCAGACCCCATGAATCATACCGAGGTTTTGCATGTTTCAAGTAGACAGAGAAGAGCTTTAGGTTTACTACATTGTTGGAGATCAAGGATTTGTCTATCTACTCAAAGCATCAGAAGACAAAAGGTGTTGGAGTGATAGGGAAGTCGAGTTGATACTCCACATCATTATTGATGTCAAAAGAGGTTTTCGGTTCCAACCAAAAAGTAATTGGCTCATTGATATCTTCCTTATGCATATGGTCAAAATTCCAGGCTGTAAATAAAGCTTTTTTTTCTCAAGAATCATTTTGGAATTCTAGGCTTTGGCCTCTTCAGCATCCAGCTTTTCCCTTAGGTCATTGAGCTCATCAAGTTCCGTGTCCCTCTTTTCTCTTGCAATTCTTTCTATCTCATGTCAACATCGAATCTTCCTCAATAACTTTTTTGGAAACGATGTAGAATTTGCCCTTTCTTGATCCTGAAGAAACATGATCCTTCCAACTAGTCTTGACCTCCTTGATATTCTTGAATTTTTCAGCAAGAGTTTTCTTTTCCAACGAGATCGTATCAGCTTCTTTAGTTTTTGTGAATCCCTTCTGATACGGATTGTTTAAGTTTACCTCTTATTCTCCCCCGTGTTTTGAAGAACCTTGCTTCTCGTAACATTCTAGATTTCATTAAGCTTCTCAAAAACCGACTTAAGTTTCTCACTAAGAATCTGACCAACATAGTCAGTGAACGGAGCATCTTTGGACTCGACGATACACATCAATCTTTGGTTGATTTCAAATTTGCACCCTTGAACCAAAATCTTTTCTTATTTATGCTTTGCAATATTGATTGATGCATTCTTAAAATTTTCTTGTAGCATCCAAGATCTTGTTCAGCCAATGCATCCATGATCTTGTTCACAACATCCAAATCATTTTGTAATCGGAGAATTCTTTCAGAGAATGATGTACAAAGACAATCATTGTCTCGTTGAATTCTGAATCGGAGGCTAGACAGAGCTTCTTTTTTGGATTGTAAAGAAGTCTGAAAACCTTCAATGACCTTATTCACATCAGCTACACTTTTATCAGAAGAAGTTCTGAAGTCAGTCATGAACTCTTGGACTTCGTGTATCAATTTATTGACCTTCTTCTTAGCTTCTGTAATTTTCTTTTTTGAAGCTTGAGCAGTCTTTGTTGTTTCTTCAAGAACATTAGCATTTGTTGACGTTAGCATTTCCACCGTTTCCATATGAGTCGTCAACAAATTCTCCCATTTTATGGAAGACAAAGCATTTGAATGCTCAACAATAGAGTTAAGTTTTTCATTCAGCTGCTTGATAGTAAAAGGTTCAAAGACAAAGTCATCAATGGGTTCTTGATCATCCCCAAACAATATATCAGCATCCTCATGTAGAGGTGGGATAAAAGAAGAAGTTGGTTCCAATGACACACCAATATTGGCATGTGCCCCACATCAGATGTGTTACCAGGGATGCCTTAAGCCCTAATCACCTCCGAAACGGACTTGATAATAGGAACTTCTGGTGGAGTTGTGACAGTTGAAGTAGAAGGAATCGTTGAGTCCGAGAAAACTAGAGATGAAAGTGGGATTGCAATTTGAGGTAGACATGTTTCAACAGAACTCATCTTTGGTAGTAGAGGAATGGATGATATTGGAATAGATATAGTAAGAGGTGAGGTTGTCATGGATAATTTTGGTGGATTGAATGGAGGTGGAGGAGGAGGAGTGGTGAGATCCAGAAATGGTTCCTTAATTATGTTTTCAAAAATGCTTGAGTCTGGAATGAAAGACGATTAAGGAGAAGATATCTTGATAGATGTTTCAAGAGTGAGTGGTTCAGAAGTATGAGTTGTATCTTCTTCATCATTTCAGAAAACATCATCCCCTGAACTTCTGTTCCAGTTCTCTCTTTGGAGTCATCTTCTATCACCGGAGATGGAGATCTTGGCTTCTGAACTAGTTTCTTTATTTTCTTAGAAATGATTACTCCTATGGAAGGAGCAACTTTTGGTTTTCGTTTACCACCTCGTTTAGTCACCTGCATCAATAATCTTCTTTAAGTCAGTAGGGATCGGACGAACACCAGGTGAGGGAAATTTTCAATAAGCCCTAATTATAGCATTGTTTACACGGATCTTTTCCAACATAAATTTCGGAATGGATCCAATGAATTCAAAATTTCGAAGACCTGTCATAACAAAAGTGGTGGTTGGAAGCTTCGAAATGTCAGCAAGTAGAGAATCTGTCATTTGAGGAAGCTTTTAGCGAATAAGAGCTCGTTTAACAAAAATCGACCAAAACCTAGCACATGAGATTTCTTTATGATGAGTAGTGGAGCTGGTACTTTGAACAAATTGAGCCCATATCACAGACATAAAATCCATGTTTACACCAGTATATAACCCATATATCAACGTGTAAAAAATAATGCTCGCGCTATCAGAGCCTGAAACCCTCGATGATAGACTTTTGAATAAAAGGGTAAATAATCCATTCTAGATAGGAGGTAAGAAGCATTTCCGGAACTTTAACAATAATGAAATGTCACCTTTATAACCCATTTGATAGAACAACTCTATCATGCTTGTAGCCATAATAGACTAAGGATCAACACCAATGTCATACGAAACAAGCCCTAGAAGTTTGCATAAATTAGCTTTCGAGATGGAGGTTTTGTGACTAGAAACTTCAAAGTTAATGATTTCGTCGATCTTATTATAGATGGATGTTAAATAAGCTTTGGACAAATGAACAAGAGGAACATCTTCATCCATTGTCATCACCTTCATCAATGGCGAAAATCTTAGACACTCTATTAAAGGATTAATCAGAGCATTATAGCATGATGCGTGAAAGTCGACTATGAGATTTTGATTGGGTTTGATGTTCAACATAATCAATCATGCTGATTGATCAGCAAAAGAAACATTTTCATAGGAAGCCATTGTAACTGTCATGAAGAAGATGAAAAGTGGGAATTTTTTTGTGTAAAGAGCCTTGAGAAATATTTGCAGTAAGAGATAATGAACCGGTTGAGATGATTTTAAATAAAAGAGGATGAGTGGAGAGAGAAATCGCCATTTCATGTTCCAGTTACGCCGAAAACTTAACCAATAGGATATTGCCAACTTATTATTCTGATGTCAGTGGTCATTATAACAGTCATGCTGATGTCCGAGAAAGTCAAAAGACACGCCATTATTTAAATTTTCCATTACCAAGACAAGGTCTTTTCGGATTCACCACTTTCAGAATCTTTGATCTACCCTCCAGCTTTGCATAAGCTAGAATAGTATCCGTTGGAATTACGACCAAGATCCGTTCTTCAAAAATAAAGTAACCAATCGGAACTGAATCCAGACATTGTAAAATCACAAGGATTCTAGTGCAAGAGTGTTCCAAATAAAAAAGAATTAATCATATTCAAAGTGAGGGATCTTTGATATCAAACATGTTTGACATGAAAAGCAGTTTGATCTCGGGCAGCTATCTCTTCCTTCTAAGTTAAGAGAGACTCCAAAGTGCTTGTGTGGTTTCCGATTGAATTATAATCATAAGTTTTTTTTAAGAAACTATGAAAGGCTTATTTTATAAGGCTTGATGGGTGGTTTCATCTTCAAACATATTTCAAAATTTAACATCAATACTAAGATATGGAAGAAGTACTTTTTTGACCAGTGTAGCCATAAAAACAAGTAAGCTTTGGATATTCTTTGTAGTAACTTGGTGTTTCAGATAAATGTTCATTTGGAAATCTCAATTAAAAAAAATTATAAAACTTGGATCTTATGGGAAGAAATGATTTGGGACAAGAACATTTCATTAAGACCACGCAAAGCAAAAATTGAGATTTTGGAACATTCAAAGTTACAAACCAAAAGGGTTCTATCCGTCAATTTAGTTGTTAAAATATCTAGAACAATAAATTGTTCAGGGTCAATTCAATGGGTAAAATATCTAGAACAATAAATTGTTCACCGTCAATTCAGAAAAAGGTAATCGTATTTTGGGTTTCACTCGAAATCATGGTAATAACAATTTCAAGATCATAAAAATAGATGTTGTGTAACCTAAACCTCAGTAGTAAAACCTGAGAGTCTAAAGGGTTACGACTATGAAAATGAAATAGATGGATAATAATAGAGTGGTAGTCAAATGGTTGAGAGTTTCACGAAAATCATGATAGCAATGATTTTGGGATGATTAACAAGAGTGTTTGTAGTTGTATACCGAAACTGTTTTTGTTCCAATAGTCAAGGGAACTACATGGAAGTCATGATAAGATATGGTAGCAAGAAGTTATGATGTCAGCTGTTAATTCCTTGTTGCGAACTAAATAAACGAATGAATTTAACATCAATCCCATGAAAATTAAATATTCTTGATGTTTTTAGTTTTTTAGAATACTGAAATAAAGAAATATTATTGAGATTTTGAATTTCGGAAACAAATGAAGAATACATAATCGGAATGAACAGTTACTTTAGAGCTACTCTGCAGATCGGAACAAGTCGGAAGTGAACAGTTGAATCTGATAGCTTTCAAAGATCGGAAACATTCGAAAGTGAACAGTTGAATCTGACAGCTTCCAAAGATCGGAAAAAGTCGGAAGTGAACAGTTACTTTAGACCTACTTTACACCTACTCTGAAGATCGGAGCAATGATGGTACGTACACTCCTCCAGCAATCTCCGCCCAGAAAGTGTTTTCATTGTAATCATCCAGTCGGCCAGTAAGACAATTAGCAAGGAATGTCGGGAAGTGGACACTCCTCATCTCATCTACTGTATATATTCCAACTCGAGTGGCAAGCTTAATCACACTTCACTCCCGACTCACACCACCAAGTCTAAAGGAGAAGGTTGTCCTATCATCGGGTGTCTTCCTAGGGTCATAGGAAACTGTAGCATAAAACTCCAGAAAAAATTCCCGATACACAGGCTCCTGGATCCTAAACAATTGTCCCAACCCTGACATACGAACAAAGGCACGCCACTTGCGTCCGAGTGGGTCTATTGCAAAAAATTCTGGATCAACTCATCAAGTCCAGTCTGGGCTGCCAATCCCCCAATCAAATGAAGGTGCTATGTCAATCTCCTTAGTAAGCAGCAAACTCAAATTGTTCACATATTTGGCCCGCGTTTCATTATTCAAAGTTTGCGGGAATTGCAAGAAACGGTGATCGGTCACGTCCTCGGGTGGGTTGGTTCTTTGAGTTCTACTAGCCATAATCTGCAAAAATAAGAACAACAAAAAACCAAAACAAAATACTCATAGCATTAACAGATTTAAATGAAAAACAAGGGTGTTGTTCAAGAACTTACGATGAGCGTACATCTAGCGTACGCTGGGCGTACATCTAGGAACTCGTAATCGTTCTCTGGTCGTTCGAAAGTCATAACCCATAACAATGCCTTCCGATTATGCACATACGCAGGGCAGTATAAAATCTAAGGGTTAAACACACAGGGCTAATGTCTAGAACGCTATATGTACGTTCAAATGCTCAAATCGAAGGTTCATACACGAGTTTAAAGGCCAAATTGAGTCATAATCAAGTGAAATTGGTCTATTTGAGCCATAATCAAACATACATTCAAAAGAAATCGGCCCCAATTCAGTAAGTATATAAACCCAAGATTTCAATGGAAGCATAATGCAACATATTTTACTGATTTAAATACAAATCAAGGAGACATGGTATCCGAATAACATACCTTTTGGACGAGTTTTACAAGAAACGAAGAAAATCGGAGTTTCCTTGGAAGGATTCGACCGTCACAGCGTGGGTTTGAAGTAACAAAATGGTAGATTTCGTGAATAAATAAATATTGATGCCCAAAGGGTTTAGAATATTACCTGACGCCGACTTACGTTGGGTGTAGATACACCTTACGCTGGGCGTAAGTCCAATTTCGTGAATAAACAAATCTTGATCATTCATATAGTACGCTTGGCGTAATTATATTTACGTTGGGCGTGCATTTAATGATTTCAAGCTCCTTTCCCTTATTTCAATCTTCTTTTCCAACTAATTCTATTGGAGACTCTTAACAATTTAATTTCTGCAACAGCGACAACTTTCAGACAAGTGACACGTTAAAAAAAACGAGATATCAAGATCACTCGTCTTTGTCGGAATCAAATAACAGTTGTTGAATAAAACCCTTGCATGCAAGAAATAGTTTGTGAAAACAAAAACTTTCGGGACCCGTTAGACTATTTCCTTTGTTTTCTTTGCACCATTAACTAAAAGTAGAACAAGAAATGACCAAACTAGTCAAGAACAGCAAGAGCTCGGTCTTCCACTTAACCACCACGAGACACATTGCTATACTACGCCTCATGGATTGAGTTGGACAAATCACCAAATTAGTACGCTAACCAGGTCAAGAATTCTCTAATCGCTTGTAATCTCAAAACTCATGCAAAAAGTAAAACCAAGCAATGCGGATGATCCCAAATTCCTGCAATTAAAAACAAGAACCTTCCCGAAAAGTGAAATGATATCAACGAAAATAAAATAAAAATAAAATAAAATGAATTAAAAACTAACAAATAACAAATAATCAAACAAACTAAATTAATTGAAAGGTGTTCCTCAGCAACGACGCCAAAAACTTTGATGTGTATTTTTCATGCACTGGTTTTTTAATTTATAATTCCTAATTTATCGCATCTAAACCACACCTTACAGGTAGTGAACCCGATCGAGTATAGTATAGCTTTGATAAGCAAGGGTGTCGAACACAAGGGGAACGGTAGTGAACTAATTTAAAATATTTGATTATAGGTTACACAAAACACACAAAAGCAATAAAGAAAAGGTTTATCAAATCTCAAATGAACAACTAATTAACAAATCTCGATAAACTAACAGGAAACCAAATCTCTTCAGGTACTTTGGTTTAGATAAATTACACCTTAAAAGCATAGACAATTGCATACAGAAATTCATTTATTCATGTTCACCGATTCCTAAAATGATTAGATTCGCGTTCACTATTACTAATCCTTTAGCAAACAAGTCAATTCAAACCGTGATCAGTTGATTAAACTAACATACTTCCTAGTGTTCAGTTTGTATCAAGCAAGACTTGTCATAATAGTTAATCAAATTACTAATTTAATTAACCTCTTGTTGATGGTTTGTCACACAAGGCTCACACATTAACTTACTTATTTCCAAGTTAATCCTAGTTTCACATTCGTTATTCCTAGACATGTAATCTTGATGGTCATCAAAATCATAAGAGACAAGCAATCAAGCAGATGTTCATACAACTCAATTTACTTGACAATTAACAGCAAATAATTATCATTAACACGTAAGGATCTTTTAATAAGCTTGGCAAGATAAATTAAACATAAACAAACAATCTAATGTAGCAATTAATCTATAAATCAAGGTTTCATTCCATCATAAACACAAAGTAAAAGGTTTTTACACATAAATCAAAAAGTAAACGCATAATAGTATCACAGTGGAATGCTAAGCATGGTCACGTTAACAAACCACATGATTACCGACACGTATCCGCTCTCTAATCCTTTCGATCTCCGCTCCCGTCAGCTTAACGGCCTTCTGGCCGCCTTCTAGACCCTCAAAACGGCTTAACATAAGTTAATTGTCGACTAAATTAGGTTAGAAGTCGAATCCCCTTTCTGGCTGGCTAATAATCGCTATTCATAACCTTTGAAACCGACTTACGTACGTTGGGCGTAAGTCGCTTTACGTTGGGCGTAGCAAGAGTTGTATCGCGATTAGGAAGTCTAGAACCAAGCCCATTACGCTGGGCGTAAATGAATCTACTTCGGGCGTAGTCGTGTTTCACCATTACGCTAAGCGTACGTGGATCTACGCTAGGCGTAATAGCATCCTTCAACAACTTTT